TTTTTTTTTTTTTTTTTTTTTTTTTGAGAAAGAAGTGGTGTTCCAAGTGGTTGGATATCCGTCCAGAGGGGATGTATAGAGTTCTGCTTACTAGAGGAATGTATAGAGTTTCTGATTCGGAAGAGGTTTTTTTTTTTTTTTCTTAAGAGCCTCCCCCACCTTACTCGGCTCCCCTCCCCCTGGGCACCATCCCCCAATCCACCCCCGTTGCATTAATAGGGATGTAAATTCATGTAATGTAATAAAATATGAAATAGTAAATAAATTTAATAAATGCAAATCATTTTCCGCAGATATTTTTGTGACGGTGTGGTTGATTTCAGTTGTGACTCGTGAGGGCATACTCACACTAGCTTTTTGAATGTATCTGGCTGCAATCACAGCCAGACCTGGATGTATCTAACCTGAATTATGCTGTTCATCAACAGCTGTGTTTGTTTCATGGAACAGAAAAATGGATTCAGAATTCAAAATCTCAACATAACAAACGCAAGATGTGCGTGGCAGTGTCGAACTGATTAGTAATTACTAATTACTAATTAATAATTAATAATTAATAATGATGTCCATACAGTGCACGGCCTAAACCATGCATGGCATCTATAGCCAAAAAAAAGGAGAAAAAAAAAAAAAAACGTTAATAACTATGAGTGATTGGGCATACGTATGGGTGGTGAAGGGCCTTTGAAAGTTGCAATTCAGGATTTGCCTTGTTGCCCCGAATTCAACGTATGGTCATTATAGATGTATCTAGACTGAAAGATGCCTCAAGTACACAGCTAGGATGACCGTACATTGTATTCCGGGGAAGAAGGTGGCTGTACCACTCACCATCCGCGAGCATTCTGGATGAATCTGAATAGGGGATTAGTCCTGATGCATTCAAAATATTGGCGGACGGTGTGTGGTGCAATTAGGCTTGAATGGCAATCCGGTGCGAGAGGGATTGAGACCCTTTGAGAGTGAAAACGTTTTTGAAGCATTTGGATGACGAAGGCATAGGGCCTCGCTCCACTGCTCAACGTTCATATGGACTGATCCAGCATGTTGAATGTATCTGGACGATAGCATGGTCAAGATGCATTTATATCGTTGTACAGTGGAGCAAGGGCCATACAGTCCAACGGACCTAAAAGGAAAGCAAGACTTGTCGATGCAAGAGCCTGTGTTCAACAAGGGGGGGGTAAAAAATGAACATTTGTCAATCCCAGGGCCTCCAACAGTAATTCCTCTCAGCTGCAGGAAGGGCCACGAGGGAGACGAGGAACATTCTAGATGTATCTGGAGTGTTCTCTCACCCCGATACGTTCAAACGTCAAAACGTCGGACGGGGCGCATGCATCTGGACCACCTAGCAGCCAACATACATGTAGAATGGGTGAAAGTAGTGACGCGAGTTCTAGGTCTACATCTTGTCTGATGTGGATTGCAGATAAGTGGGCAGTACCAAAAAAAAAAAAAAAAAAAAAAAGAAGGAAGTAGCCAGTACAAAGTGATAAAAAAAAATAAAAATAAAAAGTGACAAGTTCGAAAAGCCCGGCCAGAGCTTTGCAGAAGATTAAATTGCCCACATGTCACAGAGGGTGTCGTGGCCTGTGGACACTTGCCAACCATTACCAAGGGGTTTGGAGTTTGGGGTTTAGGGGTAGGGGATTGGGGGGTTAGGGCTCGGAGTATTTATGTTCTTAGTGTGTCGGCCTCTTAGGCGCTAGGGTCGTCAGGGTGGGTGAAGGATTCAGGGGTCTACTGATTACTACAGTGATTAGTAATGAAATATTAAATTAATTCATCTATTATTGTTGAACTGTGGACGAGTCACTAATGTTGAACCCTTGCTCATAGTTCAGCGGCACATTAGAGTCTCATTAGTCAATCATGGCAGGTTGCCCATTTTACTCGAAAAGTTTTGACTTTTGAGCAAGGGTTGGAGTCGGATTGACGGCGGGTAAAAGTTCACGCCAGTGCTCTTCAAGAAGTGTTGTTTTTTTGGAATTTGAATCTTTTAGTGAGGGTTAAAAGTTAAAAGTTAAAAGTTAAAAGTTAAAAGTTAAAATTCGGTGCTGCAGTGGTTAAAGCACCACTGCTTTTCAGAAGGGGATAGCATTGAGCAGTGTAGTATGCAGGAGGTTTTGAACCCATGATTTGTCACTTATATCACAATTTGGCCGCAAGAGAAGAACACCCACCATGAGGCCCCCCACTTGCACCACCTACCTTTTTATCTGTATATGTGGAATAGTGGCGAGAGAGAGAGAGAGAGAGAGAGAGAGAGAGAGAGAGAGAGAGAGAGAGAGAGTTGCAAGAAATTTAAAGAAAGCAATCAATATCTCATCTGCACAACTGGCATTGTGCGCTTTTGCCCAAAAATGGTGAAGAGAGAGAGAGAGAGAGAGGGGGGGGGGGGTAAGTTGCAAGGAAGCAATCGATATCTGATCTGCAAAAGGCGAAAAAAAAAAAAAAAAAAAACAGCAATCCCCCAATTATGCTCTAGGTAGGGGCCATAATGCAGAAGTGCACAAAAAAACACAGGCGAAGGACATCTGATACAGAGTTTGGGCCCTGCCCATTTGTACCATTTTCCTTGTCCTTGCTACTGCGTCCCCCGAATACAACGTACGGTCATACCAGCTGTACTTGGGGCAGAGCCTGAAACCTGGTGGCCATGGCTGATGTACTCGGAGTAGGTGCAGTTCTGAAATCCTGGCCACACCTGGGTTCAGCAAGGCGGAAGAAAGGTGCATGGTTAAGGTCCATAGTCATGTCGGGTTCTCGGTCGGGCCACCCAAAAAACTCGGTCGAGCCACCCGAAAAAAAAAAAGAAAAAAGAAAAAAAAGAAAAGGTTCATTAGATCCAAAGGCTCCTTCCGGGTTTTAAAAGACTTTACAAGTATAATAATCACAGGATCAAGTGGCTTGAAGGTGGCCTGCTCTCAAGATCAGAACATCAGTGACTCAGTCAGTTTTGTTGTTTCTTTTTTCTTTTTCTTTTTTTCAGTCAGTTTTTTCATACGGAAGAGCTCATGTCTGACGTCATTTGTTTTTATCCTTCTTCCCCTTCCCCTTCCTTCCAACCCACTGATGTCATTTTTTTGTCTGCAGTGTACTCCCATGCAAGTGTATATCCCGCAAACAATTTGATTCCGGGGCGATGAAATCCCTCGTAGTACAAGTCGTACTGAGCAATTGTTGGATTTGACAGTTCATCGCTTCGACCTGTCCATTTGTGTCTGCGTGATGCCGTAAACGAACGGAAAACTATGGTTACTTCAGTCAGTTCTGTCTACTACCGTCTTCACCCTAATAACCCAAAGAGAACGCCCGGTCATTATAGCTGTATCTGGACTCTAAATTGTACCAGATACGGCTATAATGACTGAGCGTTCTATTCGGGTGAAGACGGCAGTATGCTGCCGATTTTGTTATTATCATAGAATCAGGATGCAGACCTGACCCTATCCAGATCAAAAGTTTGGTGAGTCAGCTCTCTTATCTGCAGTCACGGTGCAACCCACCGTTTCTTCTGCGGCTTAAACTTTAAACTGGAGTTCGAACTCCACCTACTGAACAGTCCACAAGGCCTACACGGACTATGAACCAATACGCAGGACTGACGTGAGCACATGCTGAGCAAGGCAATCGAGCCATCTCGACCGATGGATGATGATCAGGGATGACGTGGACAGATGATGGACCTGCCAGTTTGGCCAATCACTGGTAGGAACCGCGGTTTGAGAAAAGGGCAAGAAATTCCGCGAGATGGCCAATCTCTGGTTCGAGATAAGGGCAAGATGACAATTGTGGTACTGGAGCAACTGCCAGTTTTCAAGGGCCGCCTCCTGCCACCATTCACCACACGCACAAAAGACAGACTTATGGCAATGCATCTTTCCATGTTTTACCCTAACATTCATTCTCATTTGGCACATTCGGTGACCGGTGGAGCTAGGCCCTAAGATATGCGCGAGCATCCTCAGACTGTGTACTGTAACATGCTGGGCATGGTGATAAAACAGAGGCCTTGAAAGGAAGGGAAAAAAAAAGAAAAGAAAAAAAAGAAAAACAAAAAAGAAAAGAGAAACTGAGAGGCCAAACTGCTGCTCTTGGTACATGCCTTCCAAGAAACAATCATTACACCTCCGCATGCGGCCTGTACCAAGAAATAACGTTCAACGTATAAAACGCCCACATTGAACGCCACTGCATTTAAACCACCACCAGTACTGCCGAGGTGCTTTTCTCGGACCAATACTGCCGAGGTGCTTTCCTCTGGAGGCTGGACGCCAAGAAATACAGAGAAAATTACGCCACTGCATTTAAACCACCAGTACAAGCTGCACGCCAAAAAATACAGAAGCCTGCGCAGGCCTCCTTTTGGCTGGCGACTGCAGCCATTTTCCACCAGTGTCATAGCCCGAAAGGTTGCAGCAGCGTGCAAGCCTCAACTTTGAAAAAATGGCGCGGGGCAGTGTCAGAGGCTGAAAAACAACACCGGCGACACCACCAATACACAGACTCAGATCGGCCCGCAGGGCCATGTCAGAGGAGGCCTGAAAAGTGACCCCGGCCACCGATTTCGTGTTGGCCCCTACTTTTCTGGATAGGCGACTAGTTTCTTCAGCGAAGCTGGGGCCGTGTACTGGCGGTTTGTAAAAAAAAAAAAAGGGAGCCCACCCGTCACTCCTCAGGGGGGAAAAGGGGGGGGGGGGGGGGTCTCCCCAC